TAGAGGGAGAGACTGGACCCAGATAAGGGGCAGGAAAGGAGGAGATGTGGGATACGCAGGAGGCAGGAAGCTCTGGGGGGCAGGGGAGGTTGAAGGCCAGTGTTAAGATTAGGGCAGGTACAGTGGTTCCAAAATCCAGCTGAACCCTCATTGTCCCGGGAAAAAGACGTCCACCAAGTGTCACCCCTGCTAAGGCACACGTGCAGACACACAGGTGTTAACACGGCTGTCCACCGCCACCCTCCTGCCCACAGGCATGCATATGTGCGGACACACTGACAAACACAGATCTGTAGCTGCACACACAGATGCTGGAACACGCCGACAGAAGCACACCTTCACACACAGATGGCCTCCTCTAGTCTGGGTGTGGTGGCTCTAGGCAGTCTCACATGGCCAAACCTGATGATTCATGGAGAAGGTTTGAGGGGTATATTCTCACTGGGTGGCCTGGGAAACACTGATCTAGCTCCGGGATGGCCTGTGAGGGCACAAGAGCCCTGGCACCTGCGTGGGGCTGCCCTGGGGTCCGGCCTGGCTCACCAGTCTCCTCTTCCCCACGGCCCAGTCTTGGACCGCTGAGTCCTATGCCCGGGAACAATTGTTAAGGTTCTACTAAAGGGGTGGATTTGGCTGATGGCCAGGTGGATCACGATGCTGGCGTTCACCTCTGCAGGTACCCCCTGGGCATCTCCTTCTCCGGCCCCCGTGAACCCCTGTCTGCCCAAGGAGCTCCCCACTCTGGTTGGGCTGATGAAGGCTCCCCTACCCCCCATAGCCATGCCTGCTTCAGAGGCCTCAGCCTGCCAGGCCGGCCTGTACATCCCCGGGGCGTCAGAGCTTCTGTGTGGCCTATGCTGGATCTGGGATCTTAGAAGAATCTGATCGATGCTTTAGGTTGTCTCCCAGGGACATACAGCCATCTAGTCGCCTACAATTTAGCACAGAATGCAGGACGTTCAAGGGACTGCAGGTTAAGAGCTCCTGGTATAAACAGTTTATGAGTTGGGATCATGCAGGATATCTTTCTGGGGTTTTGGAGAAAGGAGCCCAGGGTCAAGGATGCAGAGACTATTCAAGGCATCTATAGCCCCAAGAAAAGTGGGGGTTTAGATCCCCAGCTTCAGAGCCCCTAATCCTGTCCTCTAAGCTCTTTCCAGCCAAAGCTCTGTTCTGCCGACCTGAGCAGCCCTTGCCCCTCACTACCTAGCCCTTTCACCCACCCCTATGACCTCCCCTGCCCGCTCCTTGAGACTTGACCACATCAGTCCTTGGCCTTTGGAAAGTCTGTGCCCCATCTTGTAGCCCTTTCCTATTTCCCCCACCTTGCTCATATTCCCCCTTTTCTTTTTTGAGGTGTGCCCGGCCGGAGCAGGCAACCTGGAGCCCGGCACCCCAGGCTGCTGCTACCTGGATTCAGGGCTGCGGCGGCGCCTGCGGGAGGAGTGGGGCGTGAACTGCTGGACCCTGCTGCAGGCCCCCGGAGAGGCCGTGCTGGTGCCTGCCGGGGCCCCCCACCAGGTGCTTCCCCCACAGGCCAGGGGCTCTGCAGTGAGCCTTGACCCATGAGGAGCAGTGGGAGCTGACATCACAGTGCCACAGTGCTCCCCTACCCACTCTGTCCTCACCCCTCCCAGGGCCCTAAGAGCGAGGCAGGTCAGGAAGTCCCATCCCACTGGAAAGAAAAAGAGAAGCTGAGCGGCCCAGGAGTCATCGAGCCCTACTGGGCTTCATGTCCTAGGATACCCACCCTGCCTGTGCCATCCCCTTGGCCTGGTTTTGGCCTTGCCCTTTGAGGTGCCTGGTGCTGGATCCAGGGCCTCTGCTCTCTGAGAGCTGGGCGGGGGTCATTATGGTATATAGACCTTAGTGACAAAAGGAGTAAGGGAAGGATGCATGAGCCCGAGTCTCCACTGACCCCCTGCCCATCTCCTCTCTGGCATAGGTACAGGGCCTGGTAAACACAGTGAGCGTCACTCAGCACTTCCTGTCCCCAGAGACCTCTGCCCTCTCTGCTCAGCTCTGCCACCAGGGACCCAGCCTGTCCCCGGACCGCCGTCTGCTTTATGCCCAGGTGGGTGTGACACTGGCCAGGAGGGTGGTTGGGGTAGTATGGCAAATCCACTCTGTGCCAAGCAAGCAGCTCACCTGGGCCTGGGAAGGGCATTCTCGGTGGGACGAGCTCAGGAATGTGATTGTAAACACCTTGTCTTCTCTCTTTCTTCTAGATGGACTGGGCGGTGTTCCAAGCAGTGAAGGTGTCTGTGGGAACATTACAGGAGGCTAAATAGGGGGATCCTGAGTATCTGGGGTAGGTTGGGGGGCAGGTAGACCAGGTGCTCAGTCCAGGCACGGCTTTAGCAGAGAATGACGCTGGGGGACTTGGGGACTTTTGAGCAATCCCTCAAGTACCATTCTGGGCACAGGCAGGCACCCTGTTCCCCACTCCAACCTCGGCCCCAAAGCCAACAACCACAGTGCCATCAAAGCTTACACCTGCCCTCGCAGGCTGGCACCTGCTCTGTCCCTGCATCCCTCTCCATGGTATCAGGCCCACATCGGGGTGAAAGACCCCCTCCGACCTCTGCTCCCCCCCCCTGCACCCAGGAGACAAACAGCTCTTCTTTGGGGTCCTCGGGAATCATTCTGGCTTAAGCAACACCTTCTGCTGCGTCATCCCCCTGCTGTCCCACCCGCTCCCAAGCTCTGCTTACACCATCCACATCTTCACTGGGCTCCCGGGTGGCCCTTCGCACTGCAGCCATGCTGAGCAAGGGGCCTCTGAAATCCTGCCCTTTTGCCAGAGAACAGTGTGCTGTGGGGAGAGGGGTGGCATCAGGAGACTGCCCAGGCTTGGCTGGAGGGAATGATACAGGCCATGCCCTGTCCCTGCTCCCTCTTCTCGCCTCCCTCGTTCATGATTTCCATTAAAGTCTGTTGTTTTGTGAATGCTGCTGGAGTGGTTGGCCCTGCTCCGGGCAGGCCACATGGACTGGGGAAGGAGGAGACACAAGGAAATGGAGTGTGTGTGGGGGGGTGGCATGATGACAGGGACCTCAGACACCCCTGCCTGCTCCTCTTCCCGGGGCCTGGATCCTTCCCTGCCACTGAGAAGCAGTTGGAACCTTCCAGGGCTCCAGAGATCCGGGAACCCCAGCCTGTACGCAAACTGCAGGCTACCCCAGCTCTCCTGTCAGACCTGACCTGGAGCTCTGGGAGTGTGGCCCAGAAGAGCTCTTGTCTAGCTGTCTGCCCTCAGTGCCCGTGGCTGGCCCCAGGCCCGCTACCCAGGGACTGGCTTGCTGCCTGTGACAGTTGACAGCCCCTCCCCACCCCCAGGGCCCTCTGGTGTGGCTCTGCTTGCTCCCCTGCCCTTGTACATCTCAGCGCCAACACGCTCCGACTCTTGTTATACTTAATTGTTCCTGCAGTGGTTTGGGGAATGTTTTTTTATGAAATAAAATTTTTTATTATAAAGTTAATATACTTTCAGAACATTTAGAAAATAGGAAAAAATCACTTTAAGCTCACCTCCACTCACCCCTAACCCAACCACTATTAGCATTTTTGGTGTATTTCCTCCTATTTTTTTCCAAGGAGCTGTTTTATACATGATTGAATCGGTATGTTTTGTACTCGGTTTCTTCCTTTTAACACTGCATTGGGGTCATTTTCTGTGTTGCTGCTACCTAACCTTCATTTTAAATGGCTGCTTGTGTTCCCTTCTGTGGCTTTGCTGTGATTCATATAACCATCCCTTGTTGAAAGGAAAAAAATCGGGTTTCTTCATTGTTTGCCGAGCTAGGTCATTTTCTTTTCTTTCTTTCTTTTTTTTTTTTTTTTTTTTTTGCTAGGTCATTTTCATATTCTCGTGGGATAGAGAAAAAAGAGGAAATCAAGGAGCTCCTATACTTTGCCACTGTTCTTATTTAACCGATCTTATTTAATCCTGTTTCATGATTTCGAGGTAGATATTATTTATTTCTATTTTACAGCAAAGGTGAGAGACCGGCTGGTGTTAAGCGAGTCACCCAAGGTCACACAGCAATTTCAGTGGCAGAACTGGGGCTGGAACCAAGCTTCCTGACTAGAGCCTCGTTTCCATTAGTCTCAGCCCTGAAGGGACTTTGCAGATGGGCTTGCTGTCCTCTCTGTCCTCCTTCAACACACTTTATAGCTGATCATGTTCCATGTGGCACCGAGTGACCCATCCCTCCCTACACGTAACCTTACATAGCTGTGCCATAGTGTCACCCCAGAACCCCAAACACAGGGTCCTTCCTGTGGGAAGGCAGAGATGGCCTGGTCACCAGGCCTTTCTCTTCTCCACAGACCCCTCTGCCCACCTCCCATCTCATGGCAGCACCCTCAAGGTCATATTAAGTTTGACTCTTGGGGGATCCCTGGATGGCTCAGCGGTTGAGCATCTGCCTTTGGCCCAGGGTGTGATCCTGGAGACCCGGGATCCAGTCCCACATCGGGTTCCCTGCATGGAGCCTGCTTCCCCCTCTGCCCGTGTCTCTGCCTGTGTCTCTGCCTCTCTCTCTCTGTCTCTCATGAGTAAATAGATGAGATCCTTAAAAAAAAAAAAAAAAAGTCTGACTCTTGCAAACAGCGGGTGGACTAAATGTTCCAGGACTGGCCCTGGGCAGGAAGAGCCAGTCCGGGTGGGAGCTGACACTGAGATGACTGGGGGCCACCTGGTGGCATTCTTGTTCGTGGAGGCTCGCCTGTCTCATCTTGGGCCCAGCACTGCCCTTGGGGCTTCTGCTTCTCCCAGCACCCCACTCTCCGCCTTCTGCTCTGGCCCCTCTCACTGGCCCACGTGTCACCCAAGTATGACTCTTGGGGCTAGAAGTGACTCTGGCATGTGGGTAACCAGTGCTGACTTTTTCTTTTTCCTTATAAAGTACGTTTTTAGACTTTTGATTCTGAAATGATTTTAAATTTACCGTCGAGTCACAAGTATAGTACAGAAAGTTCCTGATTACCCTTGCTCCAGCTTCCTCTCATGTTAACATCTAACACAAACAGACACAGTGATCAAAACAAGAAATCCTTGTCTATACTATTAACCAAGCAACAGAGTTTACTGGGATTTCACCAGTTTTCCACTAATTCCTTTATCTGTTTCCAGATAGGATCCACCTATGTCTGCATCTTACAGATGACCTAGAGGGTCCATGTGGCTTCCCCAAGGCCATCCAGCATGCTGGGGGCAGGGCACAGGCTAAGCCAAACCTCCCCCACCCTGTACCTTGGGCTACTGCCCTCTTCACCCTCCTACTTTGCAAAGGGATGGCGTTTGTTGCTCTGTAAAGGCCTCTGGAAGCACAGACGCCCTTGCCCCACCCTGCCTGCCCATCCCTGGCCCTGTTTCCAAGGTTGTCTACATTGCCTTCCTGCACATGTGCTCACACGCATGTCCATCCACGTGCTCTGAAATGGCTGCTTCAGGCTTTGCTCCCATGGGTGCTGCGAGTGCTATACTATGGATCTCCCAAGTGTGGCCACTCTTGCCCACCATGCTGCGTAGCCACCCCCACCAGCTGGTGCTCTACCTTCTCTGGGAATGCAAGAGGCAGAGCATACTTGAACGGAGAACTTTCTTTGTCTCTGGTTCTGAGGGCTTCTCCCTTAGCCCCCTACCTCCCTCCACCTTTCCTGTGGGTCTGAGGGCCTCTGCTGTCTCAGTCTGGTGTGTTTGGTCTTCCACCCAATGCCTTGAGAAGGTCTGCTTTCTCCTTTTCCCTCAGCACTCCCGGAAGGGCTGGGTACACTGCCTCAAGGGTCCTCTGCCTCGTGTGTTCCTCACCACAGGGGTCATTAGGTCCACTTAACAGGGGAGGAGTGCTTTTCCCAGTGATAATGGGAGCGTGGAGCCGTGGTTTGCTGCAGTCTGCTCTTCCAGGCAGTCTGGTGTTTATCTTAGGCTGCCTCTGAGGCTCTCAGAGCCCTGCCAGACATGACCTCATTCTCTCTCAAATCATCCCTGGGAGGCAGAAAGGAGTCTGGGACCAACCAACGCTATCCCCACTTCACAGATGTGAAAAAGGACGTGTAGATACATACACACAGCAAATATGTTGACAAGTTGCTTTGTGGTCCCTGAGGCCTGATTCTCAGCCCCATGAGTCCCAGTGTTTGGGAGGAGAGAGGCCTTGGATAGGGCTGGTGGCAGCAGTGTTCACCAAGTGCCTCAAATGCTTGAGGGTCCAGCAGGGATGCCCCCCCACCTAACCCAGGGCCCTACCCCCAGGGAACTTGCAGTCAATGCCCTATGTGAGAGGCGCCTAAGGAGGTCGGGCTGGTATGGCTGGAATTCCTGAGACTACAGCTCTGTGGTGGTCCTGTAGGCATATTTCATGACAGTGGGCCTTTGTGTGGCGGCAACAAGTGCTGTGGCCAGGAGGGCTCACCCTGAGGGCTGGGCTGCCTGGTCATGATGACCTGTACAACAGTCTACAGAGCTCCTCCCAGGACGGTTCACCTCCCTGACAACCCTGTGGAAGAAGGGCTATTATGAGCCTACTCTACAGATGAGGAAACTAAGACCCACGACTCATCCAGGGGCACAGGGCCAGCCAGTGAGCTGCGGCTGGACATCTGGTTCCAAGTCCAGTGCTTTATCAGCACGTTCCCAAAAGGAAGCTGGCAGGAGGGAAAGGGGAGACCTAACTGGGGATGAGGAGCTCCGATTCGGCTGTCTTCATAGTTTCACTCCAGCTGGCCCTGCCTTCCTGTCCTAAGAGTAGGTTAAAGGAAGCTCTGAGGAGGAAAGGTCAGTCTGGGAGAGAAGTAGGAACTCGCCAAAACAACCCACACCCTGCTCTCAGAGCGCCAGCCCACCAGGCCTTGTGAGCTCGGTGTGCCGGGAACAAAGCCGAAGGAGCAGGACCTGGTCCCTGCCCTCCCAGGGCTCTCAGTCTGCAGTGGAGAGGGCCGGAAAACTGCGTGGGACATGCAGCGGGCAAGGGGCCAGGACACCGATGAAGGTTGGGCTGGCTGATTACAGGCCCTCTTTCTGCCCCAAACCCCCTCCTCCCACCGCCAACCACACCTTGACCACCCCAGCCCGGCTCCCTCCCTCCTCTGAGCACCTGTCACACCTCTTGCCCAAACCAATCATTTAGCACTTGGCTTATAACCCTTGAGGGACTTTTCATTATATGTCTATGTCCACCTCCCCAGGGTCAGAATCCCCTCCAAGGCAGGAGCTAATGCTCCCCCTGCCGTGGAGACACGCGGGACATTTTTAGTGAAGAAATAAGGTTATCTGGGAAGTGATCAATTTGGGCAACGCCACGGTAGGCAGGCGTATGAACGGTGGGTCCCAGCCGCGGCCCCCTCCCCCACCCTCCGGCCTCCGTGACGTCATCTGGCTTGTTGTGACGTCACCATCGCCGGCTCCTGTGGCGCTCCGCAGCCCGCAGGCTGGATGACGTCATCGTCGGAACCCGCGCCGACAAGTGCTTGCTGGAGGAGTTAGGCTGGCGACTGGAGATGCGCGGAGGGAGGCGAGGGGTAACTGATAGAGACGCAGAAGCCCGGCGGCGGCGCCCAGCGCCCAGCGCCCAGAGCCCAGCGCCCAGCGCCCAGGCCCGGCTCCCGCCCGCGTCCCAGCCCCGCTCCAGGCCCGGGTCCTACCCGGCTCCTAGCGGGCTCCCGGGCCGGCCCCGCCCCGCGATGACCGACGCGAGCCAGCCAATCCGCGCAGGCCGCGGTGACGCCTAGCCAATCAGCGGGCAGGGCTCCTCGGGCGCTTCCGCGTTCGCGAGCGCCGGGCCCGGGTCGGCAGGGGGAGGGGGCGAGGGCTCCCGACCGCAGCCTCGCCGGCGTCCCGCCCTGCTCGCTGCGGCCGCTCTCCGTCCGCCGGCCCCGGGGGACCCGATGGCCTCGGAGGGCCTGGCGAGGGTGCTGGCGGCGGTGCTGGGGGGCCAGGGGGTGAGCGTGCACGGCTATGATTCGGAGCCGGCCGGGGAGCCCCCGGCGCCGGTGCGGCTGCGGAAGAACGTCTGCTACGTGGTGCTGGCCGTGTTCCTCAACGAGCAGGTGAGCGCAGCCAGCCCCGGTGGGGACGGAGGACCTCCCGGCAGGAGCCACCGCTTCCTAGTGCGTGGTGCTCCCCAGTTTTGCAAAGCACTCTCACTCACACTTGCATCCGAGCCTTGAGCCTTGTGCGGCCCAGCCCTGAGCTGATCCCTCTACACAGAAGAGGAATCTGAGGCCCGGAGCCTGTTTCTTCCCTCCCAGTAGGCCTCAGTGTCTCGAGAGGAGGCCTGCCTTATTCCTCTTCTTTCCCCAGAATCGAGCACAGTGCCTGCCCCTAGTGTGCTCAAAGATGTGCCCAGTGCCTCAGAGACCTCCTCTGGGTCCCATGAACAGTAATGGCATGACCTGCACTTGTACCCTGGCCTCCTGTCCCACTGTGCGCTGCTCTTTTCTGCCGATCCTTGTACAAGTTGCTGCCACGACAGCTAGAAGGGGCCAGGGCCATAGGTAGGAGTTGTATGGGCTTGGGGGGTGGGTATTTCAAAGCCTAGGCCCCAGTGGGAGGCCCTGCCACAAGCAGTTCGTAAATCACCAGGGGAGATGAGAGATCTACAGAGACCCATGGCATATAGACAGGAATCAGTGCAGGACACATGGCAAAGCTCCCGGTGGGGCCTAATCCCCAGCCCCTGAAACAGCTCCCAGGAATCTTCACCCCTTTCCAAAACAGAAGTCTGAATGCAAAGAAGGGTAAATTGCAGACAGCTGCAGGCCCCCAGGCACACAAGGGCCAGTCCCCTGGAGAGCTCAACGGTTTGAGGTGTGCACCAGTAAGGGGGTGTTGGGTGGCTGTGTTTGAGATAGGATCTCACCCCCGGGGCAAGGGCAGGTTTGCAGCGGAGCTGTGGTGGGGGTGAGGATCCTCTCTCTCCCCTCAGGATGAGGTTCTACTGATCCAGGAGGCCAAGAAAGAGTGCCGTGGATCATGGTACCTACCCGCGGGGAGAATGGAGCCTGGGGAGACCATCGTGGAGGCCCTGCAGCGGGAGGTGAAGGAGGAGGCCGGGCTGTACTGTGAGCCCCTGACATTGCTTTCTGTGGAGGAGCGGGGCCCATCCTGGATCCGCTTTGTGTTCCTCGCTCAAGCCACAGGTATGGCCCACCTGGTGGCAGTGTTTGGCAGGGGGCAGTTGACACCTTTCCCCTCAGCTTGTCCTCTGGTGCGATGAGCCTCTATTCTGTCCAGGACAAGCCTGGCATCTCCAGATCCCAGCCCCCACCAATCCCATTACCCTGGGTCAGGGTTAGGATCCTTGGGTGACCATTTACTCTGCCGGACCCAGGACTTCTCTCAACAGAGACCCTTTCTCCCACCCCATCCTCGACATCTCCTCCAGGTGGAATTCTCAAGACTTCCAAGGAGGCAGATGCAGAGTCCCTGCAGGCTGGCTGGTACCCACGAAGCTCCCTGCCCACCCCGCTGCGAGCCCAGGACATTCTGCACCTGGTAGAGCTAGCTGCCCGGTACCGCCAGCAAGCCAGGCACCCTCTTCTTCTGCCCCAGGAGCTTCCCTGCAGTCTGGTCTGCCAGCGACTCGTGGCCACTTTTACCAATGTCCAGACAGTGTGGGTGCTGGTGGGCACAGAGGGGATGCCTCACTTGCCCATCACTGCCTGTGGCTTCAGTCCCATGGAGCAAAGGGGTGGCATCAAGATGGCCATCCTGCGGCTGCTACAGGAATGTCTGACCCTGCACCATTTGGCAGTGGAGACCAAGGGGTTGCTTGGACTGCAGCACCTGGGCAAGGACCACGCAGATGGCATCTGCTTGAATGTGCTGGTGACCGTGGCTTTTCGGAACCCAGGCATGCAGAGTGAGCCCCCAAAAGTTCGGGGTGAGAACTTTTTTTGGTGGAAGGTGATGGAGGAAGACCTACAAAGCCAGCTCTTACAGAGGCTTCAGGAATCATCGGTCGTCCCAGTCAACAGATAGGAAGGTGCCATCGTGGTGCAAGGAGCCGGGCACCTGTGCCCTACCCCCTACCGTGGCTCTGCCTTCCTGAGGGAGGCAGGAGGTTGGCAGTCAGAAGTCTTGTTGCATTGGGAGCAGGTGATTCTCCTAGTTCTCAGGGTAATTTCCTTTTCTGTGGAACAGGTCCCTACGCTGCACCAAAAGGACAGTGACTTTAACCAAACAAGGAGTTCAGAGCTCAAGGATCTAATTACTCTGTGGGCATGATGAGGGCACTACTCCCTAAGGGGAGGAGAGAACTTTCTGAACCTGAGATGGCATCTACTTATCATTTTCCATGCTCCCCTCAGTAAAGGCCTACATCCGGGTTCCAGGTTCTTAGGCACTTAGAACACAGACTGGGTGCGGGGTGGGGGTGGGAATGGGGGGGTCATTCCAAGGGAGTGGGCCCCTTGCTGAGTAAATAGGTGGTACTTGCTTTGCCTTCTTGCCTAAATGTGTCTGTGGGGAGGAAGTGAGCAGGAAGCAGGGGACTGCATCAAGAAGGAAGCTCCTCCCTTGGCCCACCACACCCTCCCAGCTCTTCCCAGACAGCAAGTGACCGGGGTGGGCATGCTTCCTGCCATCCACCATAGCCTCTGTGGCCCACTGGGGCTCTCCTTCTCTTGCCTGCCTGTGTCCACATCCTCTCCAGGATTTGGGCAATGAGAACACTGGGAGCTTCAGGTGGGTGAGGAGCCGTAAAGTAAAAGCCAGTCCCACCTCTTTTCCCCTGCTCCTTCCCTGCATCACTCTGCGGGCCACCAGCTTCTTGCCCCTGCCTTTCTACAACTCCAGCCGGAGCCAGACCGAAACCCTTTATTCATTTCTCCTGAGCCCAGCGGAATCATGATAAAAAGTATTATTATTTTTTTTAAAAAAAGAACTTTACTAAAATTTAAGGGAAAAGTCATAGGAAGTAAACAAAGAAGATTTATCGTGTGCTACTCACTGCATGTAATACAGATTTCTGGTTCTGAGCAAAAGAACACTTGATTAGACCTTCCTTCTGAGGTAGCTGCACTCCAACACTGATGGACCAGGATAAGGGCCCCCCATCCCATCCTCTCTTGGCTGCCATCTTGTCTTTCTGGCCTTAGGCTGTGGTAGGAATCCTCTTGTCCCCTCTGAGGACAAACATCTCCCACATGATGGAATCAAACCCTTTCACGTTGGTTCACCTCTCAGTGTCTGAGGGACCCACCAGTCCATGTCAAAGGGCAGTCTTTGCTCCCACTTTATTTAGCCTGGAGTAGTTTTCAACCCTGCCCAATAGAATCACCTGGAGAGCTTGAAAAACAACTTGGGACCCATCCCCCAGAGGCACTGATTCCACAGGGATTATAAAAAGCAAATCAGGTGATTCTGACATACTGAGGTAAGAGCCACTCATCAGCCCTAAGTTTTCAACTTGCTCCGTCCTGGAGTTCTCTCAGCTACCTTCCTGAGAGCATCCCCACACACATGCACCTAAGGACGAGCTTTTTAAAAATAGGAGGCCCACTACAGCATTCGTACAGCCCACGACATAAACACCCCGAAATGAGACTCGCATACAGATGCTCCAGATGGCCCATTCTTTCCCAGTGTCCCCGAGGCTAGCTGGCTCTCAGCTGTAAGCAAGCTGGGCAGAAATAGTGTTGCTTGGCCAAGAAAGAGCCTGGTTCCTGGCAGGCACCGAGGAACATCAGATTTGCGCTGCCAGAGCCTGTCTCTATTTACCACCACCACTGCCACCCCCCTGGCACACCACCCCCCTCCGCTCCAGTGTTGGAAAAGGAATCTTTCTTGGGAAAGAAGAAGGGCCTGAATGAGCAGTGGAGTCCTGTGCAGGAGGACACGAAGGGATGAAGGGTGCAGAACAGGGCCGCTGTGTCCATGCAACCAAATCATTTATTGCTGTGTCGTCTGGGGGAACGCAGTGCAAATGCTGAAGGGGATGGAGGAGGAGAGGATCTGTGACTCCCGGAGCTCAAATGTTTTCTGACTTGGAGAGTGCAGACCCGGTTCGCCCGTGAGTTCGGCTGTCCTGTCCCACGCCAACTCCCACGTGCGTGCACACGCATGCACGCACAGGCACGGTGTCCTTCAGAGTGGCAGTTAAGTCCTCCGCAGCTTGGAGGAATGCAGGAGAGGGAGAGGTCACTGAGTTCCTCCTCTTTCATGTCACCTCCTGGCAACCTGCGGCCGGCTTCTAGAAGCGGCACAGGCAGGAAAAGGAAGCGAAAGAGGCTCTGGCCTGCTCCTCCTTGCCCAGGAGCGAAGCCAGCAACTGCAGTCCTGCTGTGAGGTAATGCCTGGCGCCGCCTGTGTGTTCCTGCAGGTTGAGACAGATTCGGGCCGGGTGGGGTGGCAGCCCCAGCCGTGAAGGGCACGTAGGGAGAACAACACTACAACTGGTTGCCTGTGCCCCAGCACCTCCCCGCCAGGCCTTGGGGGCCTGGGGTCGGGTGGGCGTCCTGGCCTCGTCAGTCCTGAGCTCCCTGGCTCTCCTGGAAGAGTATTCCGTCAAGGACACTGCGGCAGGGTGGAATGCTGAGGGCCAGGCCTGGCCTCCCCTGGTCTCTGAGCCCCTCTGCCCAGGTGTGTTGGACCTGCTGAGACGGGTTCAGAGGCGCCAGAGAGAAACCAGCTGGAGCCGGAGCCTGGCACCCAGCCCCCCCACTTCCCAAGCCCTCTCCCGCCCTGGCTGCAGTTGTACCAAGGCTCTCATTAGCAGCTGCCCCCGCCTGGGCGCGGAGCAGGCTTTGGATATTTGCCACGAGGCGGTTGGGAATTTTGCAACAGTCTCTAGGAGGGCTGGGCAGGAAGAGTGGGCTTCCCTGGCCATCCACTGTGCCTTTGCCACAGGTTAAGCCAAGAAGGCAAGAGAAAAAAATGTCAAGTGTCAGCAGTGTCTGTGGCACCTACTGTGTCAGAGACAGGGCTCCTGCGCCCCCATCTCTCTGGCCTGCAGTCCTGACCAGCCTCAGAACCATCACTCACTCCCCTCTGTGCCCCTGGGACTGACCATAGGTCTTGGCCCTGGAAATGGCCCATAGACACAGAACACGCGAGGGTTTGGGCCTGGCTGCTCACCTGGCAATTACCCAGCTCCCCTGAGAAGGCCCCGAGGACACCATGCTGTCTGGGAGGCCATCTCTTTTGCTCCGTGGCTTCTGGTACCTTGGAGACCCACTCCCCGAACCCAGTCTCGTGTGGCTGACAGGCCCGGGTCTCCTGGAGTGAACCTGGAGTGGAAGCCCAGGCCTCCTCAGAGGCAGAGGTGCCTGGGATGTAGAGGAGATGGAGCCGAGCCCCCACCCTGGGAGGCAGGAGGTGGCGGCAGTGCCAGGTGGGAGGCAGCTCTCGGGCAGAGGTGTCCTGTCCTGCTCCTGGCTCAGACGTGCCCTTCTCGGGGAGGGGAGAGGTGCAGGTGAGGTCCATGTGGGGGGAACTTGACAAAAGCGATGGCAGCCAGCTCCTTGCAGAATTCCTCAAGAACCACCACACCCTGGAGGAGGGTCTGGTGGTCCAGCCTGAGGGAGACAGCATGGGGGTCATGGCTGGGAGGTGGTGGGAGTGTGCTCAGTATGACATCCCGGTGCCCAGGAGGCACGTTCCAGTGCCAGACACCTCTGAGTGAAGAAAGAGCTCAGCGATGGGCCACCGTCACCCCTTGGCCTGTGCTCCTCCCACTACCCTGGAGCAGTCTGCCTTCCCACCCTAGGGTCCATCCACCCTTGGGCACCCACTGCCCTGGGTTACTTACTGCTCCCCGGGAACCTGACCCATCAGCTGCTTGCGCACCAGGAGCAGTTTGCCTGGGAATTGGGGGACCCTCTGAATTCTCTGCATCAAGTCCCCTATCACCTAGAGCAGGAATAAGACAGGACTGAGGTGGGGGCCAGTGACACTCGTGCAGGGTCCCCTAGCTCTGCCATGCCGCGGTCGGTGGGTGTGTGTGCCTGTGCTTTCCCCGGAGCTGTCCGGGGTGCCCACTCCTGCAGCCCTTGCCCCCACCCTCCTTCCTGTTCCCCTCCCTTCCTGCCACCCCACTGGCACACACCCTTGGGCTCCGACATCCTTACCCTGACAAGCACAGAGAACAGACTCCTGCAGCCAGGGGCCAGGTTGATGTAGGGATCCAGGAGGTACTCATGGATAAGGGGGTGGGGGAAGAGGGCAAGCCGGGACAGGACTGAGGTCACCTGCAGGTTCAGGCTGTATGGCTGTAGGGAACACGGTGGACAAGCCGAGGGTTGGCAGGGGGCGGCAAGCATTTTTTGCACTCCCCCAGCAAGGCGCCTGGCCAGTGTGAACGTGTGCGGGGGTGGGAGTCTCACGTGATGTGTTTGTGTGTCATGGATTCCCTGGGGCTGAGGGCCAGGACATGTTAGGGCGTGTGGGGCAGAGGCAAGACGGGGCTTCCCGCCTGGAGAAGGGGAAAGGGTGGGGGGGTCTGGAGCTGAAGCACCAAAGAGGACTCAACCCCCAGGGCTGGGCGGCTGTCCTGATGGGCTCCAGAGGCACCTGCCTGAGTTCTCCTGCCGGCCCTCACCCTGTAGCCAGGGCCCAGGCCTGTTGGCTACCTGTTCCAAAATCCGGGACATGCGGTCAAACAGCATTCGGAGGAAGTGACCCTCAAAGAAAGGCCGTTCGGGTTCATGGGGGTCCAGGGGTGTGGGACCCAGGGGCCAGCCCCAAGGGGCTACTCGGGAGCTGCATTCCTGGAACTGAAACAGTGGTGAGAGTTGAGGAGGGAGGCCCAGTGGCCAGGAGGCACCCGCAGACACAGGGAACCACGTGGGAGGGATGGACTCGAGCTCTTGGCTGGAGTAGGGAGCACCCTGGGCAGATCGCAGACGGAGGAGGTGGGGCTTATCAATGCCATGGCTCTGAGGGCCGAGGAGCGGGCTTGGGCACAGGCCTCGACACTCACCAGTCCGTAGGCATCGTGGACGTACGTGTCATATCCGGTCTCCTCCAGGAAAGCTGAGGTCTTGGCTTCCTCAGGAACCAGGCAGAGGAAACTGAGAGACAAGACCTGGGTGTGGAGGGGCACCGCCTGGGCCACCCCGTTCCTCCTTGCTCCACTCCAGTCCTGAAGGCGCACTCCCTCCTGGGCTGCGCCTCATCAGGGCTCTGGCTGAAGATGGAACAGACCTCAAGTGGCTTCGGGTTCCAGAGCGGCTCCCTACCTGTTGACGATCTCAGTCACGGCTGTTTTGCCATCCAAGTTGGTCGGGGGGGCCGGGGGGTGCTTTGCAGAGGGTTGAAAGCTGGAGTCGAGGAAGCCGTCTGTGAAGTAGGGGTCTTCCTCCAAATCTCTGTGGCCAGGGCCGGCAAGTGGCACCAGGAATGAAGGAATGAGCGAGTGCGGGGTACTGAG